GAATGCTTTAGCTGAACCTTTATCCGCTCCGAGACTGTTTATGAACTGTTATTATCGCCTTCTCTTTATCGCCCCCCCCTTTCTTCCCAGGAACTACGACCCGCTCTTAGACTGTCTATGAATTCATGCTGTTATCGTCTTCCTCTTATCGCCCCATGGGAACTACGAGCCACTCCTAGACTGTATGAATTCATGTTATTATCATCTTCCTCTTACCCCCCCCCCCCCTCGGGGAACTACGAACCACTCTTAGACTGTCTATGAATTCATATTATTATCGTCCTCTTCTTACCTCCCCCACCCCACCCCAAGGAACTATGACCTGCTCTTAGACTGTCTATGAACTCCTGTTATTATCGTCTTCCTCTTATCACCCCACCCACCCCCCACCCCCACCCAGGGAACTACGACCCTCTCTGAGATTGTCTATGAACTCCTGTTATTATCGTCTTCCTCTTATCGCCCCACCCACCCCCCACCCCCACCCCAGGGAACTACGACCCTCTCTGAGATTGTCTATGAACTCCTGTTATTATCGTCTTCCTCTTATCACCCCCACCCACCCCCACCCCCACCCCAGGGAACTACGACCCTCTCTGAGATTGTCAATGAACTCCTGTTATTATCGTCTTCCTCTTATCACCCCCCCCACCCCCACCCCAGGGAACTACGACCCTCTCTGAGATTGTCTATGAACTCCTGTTATTATCGTCTTCCTCTTATCACCCCACCCACCCCCACCCCCACCCCAGGGAACTATGACCTGCTCTTAGACTGTCTATGAACTCCTGTTATTATCGTCTTCCTCTTATCACCCCACCCACCCCCCACCCCCACCCCAGGGAACTACGACCCTCTCTGAGAGATTGTCTTTGAACTCCTGTTATTATCGTCTTCCTCTTATCGCCCCACCCCAGGGAACTACGACCCTGTCTGAGATTGTCTTTGAACTCCTGTTATTATCGTCTTCCTCTTATCCTCTCCAGGGGACTACGAGCCGTTCCTGGACTGTCGCTGGATGGTGGTGGGTCTGGCGGAGAACGTCGTCAACCTCACCTTCACCAGACTTGACATCGAGCCCCCAGGAGAGAACGATACGAGTCCTTGTCCGTATGATCACGTGCAGGTACGGCCCGTTCTTAGTATTGTAGTTGTTGTTGTTGTTGTTGTTGTGGTTGTGGTTCTGAGTCGTAGTTTTAGTCTTCAGTTTCTAAATCTTCCTTTTCTTCTCTTTGTTCGTCTTCGACTTCTTGTCTTTTTTTCTCCTTCTCTAGCTCTTCTACTTCTTCACCTTTTTCTTCATCTTCTTCCTCCTACTCCTCCTCCTCCTCCTTCTCCTTCCTCCTACTCCTCCTCCTCTTAATCCTCCTCCTCCTAATCCTCCTCTTCTTCTTCCTCTTCCTCCTTTGGCTTTTTCTTCCTCCTCTTCCTCCTCATCCTCCTCGGTTAACTTTTATGCTCGTTAGTCCTCACTGAATTGCTTTAATTCTCGTTACTCCTCCATGACCCTCCTCATTTGAACCACTCATTACTCCTCACTGAACCTCCTCATTTGAACCACTCGTTACTCCTCAATGACCCTCCTCATTTGAACCACTCGTTACTCAATGACCCTCCTCATTTGAACCACTCGTTACTCGTGACCCTCCTCATTTGAACACTCGTTACTCCTCCTCCTCATTTGTACCACTCGTTACTCCTCCCTGAACCTTGTTACTCCTCACTGAACCTCCTCATTTGAACCACTTGTTACTCCTCATTGAGCCTCCTCATTTGTACCACTCGTTACTCCTCCCTGAACCTTGTTACTCCTCACTGAACCTCCTCATTTGAACCACTCGTTACTCCTCAATGACCCTCCTCATTTGAAACCACTCGTTACTCAATGACCCTCCTCATGAACCACTCGTTACTCAATGACCCTCCTCATTTGAACCACTCGTTACTCCTCCCTGAACCTTGTTACTCCTCACTGAACCTTGTTACTCCTCACTGAACCTCCTCATTTGAACCACTTGTTACTCCTCATGAGCCTCCTCATTTGTACCACTCGTTACTCCTCCCTGAACCTTGTTACTCCTCACTGAACCTCCTCATTTGAACCACTCGTTACTCCTCAATGACCCTCCTCATTTGTACCACTCGTTACTCCTCCCTGAACCTTGTTACTTCTCACTGAACCTCCTCATTTGAACCACTCGTTACTCCTCAATGACCCTCCTCATTTGAACCACTCGTTACTCAATGACCCTCCTCATTTGAACCACTCGTTACTCAATGACCCTCCTCATCCACTCGTTACTCCTCCCTGAACCTTGTTACTCCTCACTGAACCTCCTCATTTGAACCACTCGTTACTCCTCAGTGACCCCCCTCATTTGAACCACTCGTTACTCAATGACCCTCCTCATTTGAACCACTCGTTACTCCTCCCTGAACCTTGTTACTCCTCACTGAACCTCCTCATTTGAACCACTTGTTACTCCTCATTGAGCCTCCTCATTTGTACCACTCGTTACTCCTCCCTGAACCTTGTTACTCCTCACTGAACCTCCTCATTTGAACCACTTGTTACTCCTCATTGAGCCTCCTCATTTGTACCACTCGTTACTCCTCCCTGAACCTTGTTACTCCTCACTGAACCTCCTCATTTGAACCACTCGTTACTCCTCAATGACCCTCCTCATTTGAACCACTCGTTACTCCTCACTGAACCTCCTCATTTGAACCACTCATTACTCCTCGTTGCAGATCTTCGACGGTCCCTCGGATAAGTCTCCCCTGATCAGCACCCTCTGCAACAGCACGACTCTCCCGCCGCCCGTGGTCTCCTCCTCCAACGTCATGTACATTCGCTTCACCTCCGACAGCGCCCACGAGAGTGCTGGTTTCACTGCAACACTGTCCAACATTCCTCGTGAGTTTTTTTTTCTCTTCTCTTTTTCTTTCTGTCTTTCTTTCTCTCTTCTCTTTCTCTGATCCTGTCACATGGCTCTTTCCTTCTTCTTCCTCCTCTCTTTTCTTTCTGTCTTTCTTTCTCTCTTCTCTTCTCTGATCCTGTCTCTCTGTGTGCCTCTCCTCTCCCTTCTCCCTCTTCCTCCCTCTTCCTCCCTCTTCCTCCCTCTTCCTCCCTCTTCCTCTCCCTCCCTCTCTTCTCTCTCTCTCTCTCTCTCTCTCTCTCTCTCTCTCTCTCTCTCTCTCTCTCTCTCTCTCTCTCTCTCTCTCTCTCTCTCTCTCTCTCTCTCTCTCTCTCTCTCTCTCTCTCTCTCTCTCTCTCTCTCTCTCTCTCTCTCTCTCTCTCTCTCTTCTCTCTCTCCTCCTCTCTCTCTCTCCTCTCTCTCCCTCTCTCTCCCTCTCTTCCCTCTCCCTTTCTTTCTTTCTTTCTTCTTTCTTCTTTCTTCTTTCTTTCTTTCTTTCTCTCTCTCTCTCTCTCTCTCTAGATAAAATATATTGATGTCCATTCATTAATTTATTCACTTATTCACTTATAACCAAGATTTCACACGGTACGAAACATCTCCAATTTGTAATTTATGTGTTTGTGTTTTAATTGATTTGTATATTTATTCACTCCTTTATACCCCAAGGTTTCACACGGTACAAAAGCTCTCCAAATGCAGAGTTTGTGCTACATTTGTTGGCATGTATGTGTGTGTTTGCATGTACGTGTGTGTAGGCAATCTAACCCCCCCTCCCCTTTTTTTTCCCTCTCTCCCCTCTTCCCCTAGACCCCTGTGGCACATCCGCCCTCGTAGCCACCAACCACACCCAGACGATCGAGTCACCCGGTTATCCGAACCAGTACCAGGCCAGTACCCGTTGTCGCTGGACCATCGCCGCGCCAGAAGACAGCCAAGGTATCCACATTGAATTCACGGACATGAACCTCGAGTCTTCTGCGAGATGCGCGAAGGATTATCTCGAGATTTCGAAGTATTTTGGGGTAAGGTTTGACACTGTTTTCTTTTTATTATTGTTATTATATATCTGTCTGTCCGTTTCGTTTGTCTGTCTGTTTGTTTAGGAATTTACGTGTCTGTCTGTCTGCTTCGGTATTTGCGTGTTTGTCTGTTTTTCTATCTACCAGTCTGTTCCGTTTGTCGTCCGTCTGTGTAGGTATCTCATTGTCTGTCTGTCTCTTTATCCGTTTGTCTGTCAATCTTTTGCGTATGTTTTTCCACCTGTCTAGGCATCTACTTGTCTGTCTGTTTCTCTTAGTATTTACTTCTTTGTCTTGATATCTACTTGTCTGTCTAGGTATCTGCTTGTCTGTTTAGGTATCTACTTGTCTGTCTAGGTATCTACTTGTCTGTCTGTTTGTCTTAGTATCTGTCTGTTTAATTTTCTACTTGTCTGTCTGTCTGTCTGTCAAGGTATCTCCTTGCCTGTCGGTCTGTCTGTTTGTCTGTCCATCAGGAAGTCTATTGATCTATCTATCGGTCTGTCGGCGCGTCTGAGTGTCTGCTTGATTATCTACGATCTCTCGTTTGTCGGTCTATCTTGGTCTCTATACGCATCTGTCAGTCTATCTGCTTGTCTATCTCTGTCTATCCAATATCTATTTGTAGGTCGTTTTTCGGTCTATCTGGCTATCTATTTGCATCTCTGTCAGCCTCTTTGCCTGTCCATCTCTGTCTATTGATTTCTCTCTCTGCCTATCGATCGGAATGTATATCATCATTATTATTTTCAATATTGTTATCCTCTTTTTTTCTTTCTTTTTATGTCCATCATCATCATTCATATTAATGTTATCATGATAATTTCATGATATCACCATCAACACTAACACCACCAACACCACCATCACCAATACCACCACCAACACCAAATCACCATCACCACAATACCACCAATCACCACCAACACCAACCACCATCACCAACACCACTTCACCACCATCACCCAACACCACTTTCACCACCATCACCAACACCACTTTCACCACCATCACCAACACTTTCACCACCATCATCACCACCAACACCACCATCATTAATATTATCATCTTTTTCCTTCCCAGACGGCTGAAGATACTCGCATCGTAACAGGTTATACTAGGTGGACGGTCACCATTGGAGGGCGGTTGGCGTATTTCAGTGTGAGTAGAGTTCTTCTTTTCTTCTTTTTCTCCTTCTTCGTCTTCTTCATCTATTTCTTTTTCTTCTTATTATTATTTTTCTTTTCTTTTTTTTTCTCCTTCTTCGTCTTCTTCATCTATTTCTTTTTCTTCTTATTGTTATTTTCTTCTTTCTTCTTTTTCTCCTTCTTCGTCTTCTTCATCTATTCTTTTCTTCTTATTATTTTCTTTTTTTTCTTCATTTTTCTTCATCTATTTCTTATTATTTTTTCTTCTTCATCATCATCTTCAGCTTCTTTTTCTTCTTCTCCTTCATCAGCTTCTTCCTCATCTTTTTCTTTTTCTTCTTCTTCAGCTTCTTCCTCATCTTTTTCTTTTTCTTCTTCTTCTTATTTTTCATCTTCATTTTCTTCATCAATTTTTCTTCTTCATCTTCTTTTCCTTCTCCCTTTTTATCTTCATCTTCTTTTTCTTCTTCTTCATCTTCATTTTTCTTTTCTTCTTTTCTTCTTCTTCTTCATCTTCTTTTTCTTCTTCTCCTTCATCTTCTTTTCTTCTTCATTTTCTTTTCTTCTACATCTTTTTTTACTTCTCCTTTTTCATCTTCTTTTCTTCTTCTCCTTCTTGTTCTTCATCTTCTTATTCCTTTTCTTCTTCATAATTTTCTTCTTTTCCTTTCTTCGACTTCTTATTCTTTGTCTTCTGCTTCATTTTTTTCTTATTCCTTTTCTTCATCTTCTTAATCTGATTCTTAGTCTTTTTTTGTCATCTCTTTTTCTGATTCATTTTATCTTCTTCATATTTTTTTCTTCTTCGTTCTCGCCTTCTTCTCTTTCTCCTTCTTCTTGTTTGTCTTTTTTCTCCCTCTTCCTCTTCTTTTCCTTCTTCTTCGTCGTCGTAGTCGTCTTCATCTCCTTCTCCGTCTACTTCTTCATTTCCGTCTACTTCTTCTTCTCCGTCTATTCCTATTTCTTCTTCTTTTTCTTTTTTCTTCTTTTTCATCGTATTTTCTATTGTCTTCTTCTATTTCCTCATTGTCTTCTTTCTTGTCCTTTTCTTCTTCTTCTTCTTCTTCTTCTTCTTCTTCTTCTTTTATGCATTTGCACTTCGTTTATTTGTTTGTAGATAAGATGACTATATTCTGTGAGTCAAATTCATTGTAATTTTGCCCATAATTCATCATGACTCATCACATATAATATCATAAGTCATCACAACGTTACCACTATACACACACACACACACACACACACACACACACACACACACACACACACACACACACACACACACACACACACACACACACACACACACACACACACACACAACAAATAATAAATAAAAAAATTATTAAATATATAAATAAACAAATAAATAGATAATAAAAATAAATAAATGAATAAATACGAACTTACCGAAGCTTAACGTCACAGGTAACTTCACCCTTAACTCATCACAGCAGAACTTTTAATTCATAACAACCCCCCTAACACATCACAACTTGACTTCTAACTCTAGTCTATAACTCCTTACAACCCCAAAACTCATCACAACCCCAAAACTCACCACAACTTGGCCCCAGCTCATCGCAACACAGTTTTTAAATCATCTTAACCCCCTGTTTAGCCACAACTTCACCCCACACTCACCACAACCTGATCCCAAACTCACCACTTCACCCCAAACTCACCACCACTTCACCCCAAACTCACCACCACTTCACCCCAAACTCACCACCACTTCACCCCAAACTCACCACTCACTTCACCACCAACTTCACCCCAAACACACTACTCCACCCAAACTCACCACCACTTCACCCCAAACTCACCACCACTTCACCCCAAACTCACCCACCCACTTCACCCCAAACTCACCACCACTTCACCCCAACTCACACCACTCACCACTCACCACCACTTCACCCCAAAACTCACCACCACTTCACTCACCACCACTTCACCCCAAAACTCAACCACCACCCCACTTCACCCCAAACTCACTCACCAAACTCACCACCACTTCACCCCAATCACCACCACTTCACCCCGAACTCACCACCACTTCACCCCGAACTCACCACCACTTCACCCCACACCACCACTTCACCCCACACTACACCCCAAACTCACACCACCCACACCCAAACTCACCACCACTTCACCCCAAAACTCACCACCACTTCACCCCAACTCACCACCACTTTCACCACCACTCACTCACCCCACTTCACTCACCACACTTCACCCCAAAAACTCACCACCACTTCACCCCCAAACCACCACCACTTCACCCAAACTCACCACACTTCACCCCAAACTCACCACCACTTCACCCCAAACTCACCACCCACTTCACCCCGAACTCACCACCACTTCACCCCAAACTCACCACCACTTCACCCCAAACTCACCACCACTTCACCCCCAAACTCACCACCACTTCACCCCAAACTCACCACCACTTCACCCCAAACTCACCACTACTCCATCCCAAACTCACCCCAACTCCACCCAAAACTCGCCAACACTCCACCCAAAACTCACCAACACTCCACCCCAAACTCACCCCAACTCCACCTTTCCTTTCCAGCGACCATACGGGGAGGAGGACCGTAAATACTGCGGATCGACTCTCCCTCACTCCTTCGACTCCCGCA